CAGGGATGAGGCCTCCTCGTCCTGCCTACACACCATCACCAAACGGGAACCTCTACCCGTGTGACATGACAGCTGTCAGTCAAAGAGGACGTCCAGTCAGCAGCAAGTGGCAGAGCCGTCTGCAGGACATGCTGACGCCGACCTCCTCCAGAGCCTACGCCATGGGCTGTGCCATCATCACTCTGCTGCTGCTGACAGTGCTGCTCATCTTCTACTTTTTAGGTGACACATCATATTTGTTTTTCCCCCCTGATTGTTCCTGGATGGTTTGATTTTCCTGCATCTATAAATAACATTTTATCCCTTTTTTTTTCATATTGATCACATTATTTGCTACCAGATGTTTTTAAATGGGTTCTTATAACTTTAAGCTAAACCATGTAATTGTGAAAATATTTGCTTGATAACAAATATTAATTTGGTAAGTTGCAGTTCAGGATTTTAGACATCAGGGTTACAGTCCAACTACTGTAGTGAAGGCTCAGTCCTGACAGTGAAGCACAGATGTGGGAGTTTGATGATAAATGGATGTATAAGTGCAAAAGACCATTTATAGACGACACCATGAACGTCTGACATTCTGACAAGATGACAGAAGAATGGCAGAAGAGGAACATTCCAACATGACAACCACCCATAGCGCACTGCCAAAATCACACAAGAGTTTCTAAAGACAGGCAAAGTGAAAACTGAGAACTGGGATTTTAAAGGGAAAGTTGGAGCAACACATCACCTCCAGCAAAGAGAAGCTGAAAAGAAAAATCAGTAAAGAATGGCAGAACGTCTCTCCAGAAATCTGGTGTCCTCCAGCAGGATTGAGTCTGTCATCAAAAATAAATGAGACGAAGAAAATACTGAGAAAATAAAACATTTACACCTCAGCAACGAAAGGTTGTGTTGTGGCTGGATCACATTTTGAATAAAGTAAATTGAAACAATTTGTTTTTAATTCTAAACAACTGATGCAAATATTGAGAGGTGACACAGTTTGAACCATTTGACATTTATACTGCACTACTAGAGTATCTTCCGCTGTGTTGTTGGCTGTTTGTGAAGCAGGATGATGAACAGTGTTTGTGCTCCTCTTCAGTCCAGCAGGGTGGTCTGATCTGGATGCTGACAGAAGCAGTGAAAGAGAAAGAAGCTGCAGCCACAGAATTATCACTGCTGATCCAAGAGCTGCAGGCCCTGAGGCTGAACCTGACGGCCAACAGAGGACATACATGAGGGAGGAACACTGCACACATATGTACTGAACACACAGGAGGGACTGAGGAGCCGAGAAGTGTAATAAAAACTGTGTGTGACTTTTCTGTTTCAAGATGAAATGCAACCATGTAATGAAGAAGATGGGAGGTTTTTGAAAACTTTTCAACTGTGTCCTGTCAGGGCGGTAACATGAAAAGGACTTTTGAATGAACTTTATTCATGTGTAGTGATGGCTCTGTCATGATGAGATCAAATGATGTGAGGTGGTTCTTCATATATGTATTAATCAGAATCACATCTCCAAAAAAATTACTGACATTTTCATTTTCTCATAAAGCGTGTTTACACATCGTACTTCTTTACAGTGTTGTCAAACCTTTGGTGTTTGTGTCATTTATTTAACATTAACTCACGATAAAACATAGAAAAGTAAAACTGTATTTAAAAAAAACTTACATTAAACGGAAAATTCACAGTGTTGTTTTTCATGCATGTGTTTGGAAGCCTAATCAGGTAACACGGGCATACTATGATTTTCTAAACTGTCACTATTTATGAACTATGTGTAATCACATCATATTTTTCTGCAGTTACAAAGAGTAATCTGAAACAAGGAAAAACAAAAGTTAAAACAGATTACATGTAGATAAACACTTAGCCGTTGTTTTCTAAGGCACAAAGATATTATTCTGTGAAAGAAAAATTAAGGAAACATAAATTATTTGCTGCCAAAGTAATAAATTATTGAGTGAAATATTAAAGTAAAAAAAAAAAAAGAAGAAACTACACACCCTTTTCAACTCATTGTGCATTTTACATGGATTGTGTAACCCTTTTTAAAACAGGCAATACAAACACAAATAGAGTCACGTGTGTTTATTGTAATTTCTGTTAAAAATGCTGCTTTAGATTCATTCAGTGCAGACATTTGTATACTCTCCATCTATCAAAATGTCTCATGAATGCTGACAGACAGCGTCTTAGTCAAGGAGTTTCTGGGAGAGTTGCATTTCTTTGATTATTTATTTTACAAAATCTGATGAAGCCTGGAGTTACTACAAAGTTTTACCACAGGTGTAACCAATAGTGGAGCAAATGGTGACTCCACATACCATAGATATGCTACTCCTTGCATTTCTACTTGTTTAGATGTTTGTTTTCTCTCTGCTCTGTGGAAACACAGCCTGCAGTTCAGCCCAGTTAAGACGAACAGTCCCAGGATTTCTGTCAGATGACTGTTGGTCACAGCTGAGTCACTGATGGCTTCACAGCTGTGCAGAGGAGTGCAGAAGTCTTTGTTTTCTACAGAATCTGGTTAATGAGAGCAGTTTATTGTTGTCAAATTTTAAATGGGGTGTATGAAATAAAGACATTTTATCTAAATATTATTTGGTGAATTTTCTAGATAGAACTCCAAGTCACAGATGATTAATTCAAGGACTGTCGGAAAGATGAAAATCCAATGATTCTTTCTGTCTTTAATTACCATATCCTGGCAATCTTTAAAAATAACATTGCTTTAAGAAACACTGAGGGGTTTCTGAGGGGTTTGGGGGTTAGGAGAGGTACCAGAAATGTTTTGGTTAATCAACCTTCTTCTTTCGACACTTCTGCCCAGTCCAGCCTGAGTAGCACCGACACCGGTAGTGTCTGTGAAAAGCTCCGTCGCTGGAGGAGTCGGTGAGCAGGTCGATTTCATGACGGTCAAAGTAGCCGGTAGAAGCCGAGGACGGCCGTCGCCTGGTGCAGCGTCCGTTGCCCTGGCAAAGCTGGAGGCTGCAGCGCTGCACTCCAGACCTCAGCGACTGAACGAAGGGGCCCAGGACGTTGTGGATGTAGTCTCTGAGGAGGACGCACTGTCGCTGAGGAAGAGGAGACGATTACACACAGACACACAGACACTCACATGGTCATACTTTTTCTCACATACCTTGGATTTGGCAAAACTCAGCTCCCCCCACAGCACGACTCCAGCTGCTCCCAGTGATGCACTTTCCCCAAGTGTGTGTTGTAGGTCCGTCTACACACACATACACACTTTATGATGCCACATATATTGCAGATGTTTGAATAACATACAGTGACTATACAAATTTCACTTGGAAGTTTTCCCTTTTTGTTGCTTTTCAACATGGAATCCTGGTCAGTTTACCCTATTCAGGACTTTGGGGGTCATTTGGTTTAGGTGACAGATATTGTTTTTTTAAAAAAAAAAATATTATCTTTGAAGATTTTTTTTTTTTTAAATATAAAAAGAAGGACATTTGTCATGCATTTGGAACCAAAATTACATCAACTTATCAGAAAATGTATTTAACGTAGTATAAAAGTCTATAATGAATACCAACAATTATTTCGCACATATTCTTTCTTGGGGTCCAATGGACTCTGAAAGACTTTCTGCGTATGGCAACATGAAAGTCCTGAAGAGGGTTAATTAGTTTTCTTTTGACAAGAATTTACAAAAAAAGACTCTTTTATGTCAAAGTCAAACCAGATTTCTACAAAGTAATGTCAAATAATTACAAATATAAAGCATACTCCCTACAAAACAAATGTGGGAGACTCGGAAGCCAACTGGAAGAAGGTTCTTTGGTCTGATGAGGTTTTTTCCACTTTCACAGTCTCTTCCATCTCAGCGGCTGAAGCTTGTAGCTCCCTCAGACAAATCACAGGTTTCTTGGTGGCCTCCCTCACTCGCCTCTTTTGCTCTAGTCATTACATATATGTTCCATATTCAATGCATTTCTTAATGATGGATTCAAGAGTGCTCTAAGGAGTACGGAGTTGTTTGGAGTGCTCTTTAGTCTTCATGGTGTAGTTATATCCAGGATGCAGGCCTCTTTGTACTATAATCACTGCACTCAGATGACCTCTGTTTCACTAATTGTGACTCGTAGCACCGACTGGCTGCACCTGTCACTTTAAGGGGAGTAAGAACTTATGCAATCACTATTTTACATTTTATATTTTAATGAATTGACATTACTTACTGACTAGAAAACTGTTTTCACTTTGACATGAAAGAGGTTTCTTTTTTTTTTTTGTAATTTTTTTTTGTAAATTCTTGTCAAAAAAGTCAAATTAAATGACCAAGATTCAAAAAGCAACAAAAGAGGGAAAACAGGAAACAGGTGCTGTATTTAGAATTCTCAACACATGAGTTGCAACAAATCCCACCTTATTGAGAAAGTTGAGGGTGTGTGTGAATGCCAGTCTTGCATAAGGAAGGACGGGTGTGGCGTGGATGGTGGTGTTGCCATGGCGCCACAGTGATGCAACCCTCAAAGCCTCCAGCAGCCTGTGTCTGAGTGAACGAGACAAAATTATCCATCAGCATCGTGTGTTCCCTTCATGATGCACAACATCCTCACGGAGGCTTCAGAGATGTCTGAGGAGGGCATCTTTACGACTGAGGCAGCAGAATGTGTTTGGTGTGTACCTGACCATCAGCGCTGCATCAGGGGACCCGGCCAGCCTCTGTGGCAGGTAGATGCTCGGGTAGAGGGCAGAGGACTGAGACCAGAGCCAGGACAGCCGGTCATTCTGCTGCCTGGTGCTCGAGTGGCAACGTCCTGTGTAGGTTTCCTCTGACCAAACACATGAAGCAACAAAGACACAAGTTGGTCTTCATCACGAGTTACAGTGAATGTTAAATCAATGTTTCTCTTCTACCTGTCTTTGTCTTGTGCTTGTTAAAGCAGGAGGGAAACCCGTAAAACCCCCACAGGCCTCCTGGATGATCTCTGACCGCCGACCTCAGCGTCTCCTCCATGAACTTCTGAGCGCTTTCTTCAAAGTTCAGCCTGGCCACCAGAGCCGCGGCCTCCTCAGACAGGTCGGGCCTCTCCTGCCTCACCAGCAGCTTGGACAGCCTCCGGTACGCCATCTTGGATCCCACGTTTCTCACCCACAACGGCTGCCACTCCTCCCAGTCGATGACAGCCATGCCGGTGAAGTTGGGCTGCAGGAAGCCGGAGAGCTGCGTCACGGCGAGGGAGAGGTGAGCGTCCAGGTCGCCCAGCTGAGGGATTCCTCCGTTCACCTTCCCGCCGCCTCTGGACAGGTACGGATATCTACCCAGGCGGTCGCGATAGAAGATGCTCATGTTCTGGAAAACGAAACATGTGAACAAATAAAAATGATGAACAAACTGGGCAGCTCTGTTGTCCTTTGTAGCCTCTTTCAGCTTGTTGTTTTGGTTTTATTGAACATTTACTGTTTGGTTCTGCTTCACTAGCCCTGTGTGCAACTCTCAAAACTTTACCTGCATAACAAAACTGAAAAACATTAACAGCAGCATTTACTCACTGTGGGCTCTGAAGAGTCTCTGAGGTTCTGTAATGTGACTGTTGTATGTAGCTGAGTTGTTAACGGCTTCACAGTTGTGCCAATGAGTGCTTTTCTTTTTTCACAGAATCTAATCAGTGCAAAAGCTTCATTTTTGGTGAATTCTTAAATGAAACATGTAGAATAAGGAGATTTTTTTTTTCCTTTTTTAAATCAGAATTATAAACTGAGATTTGGTTTTGAATTTAGAGCACATCACACAAAATTAGTGCAAGGACCGCTGCATTTAGAGAGTGCAAAATCCCCAATTCTTCCTGTTTTTAGAGTTTGCGGTTCTGATAACGGTGTTATTTTTAATAGTTTTTCAAAATAATGTGCTTTTCAAACCTGCAGATGGGTTCAGGTGGTTTAAAAAACAGACGACTGCATCATCAGTTTTCCACAAAAGACTGGAAAAAATATATATTTGTATATGAACTACAGTCATCCTCTAATTTATTCATACCTTCCCATTAAAGAAAGAAAAAACAACTGTCGACTAAATTTTATAAAAATCATGACATTGCTTTTAAATTGTGGTTCAACAGAAATATTAAAAAACAACAACAAACCAAGCAAACAATCATGATGGGACCCGTAAATTAATGTTTAGTTGAACAACCCTTTGAGCCAATCACTGCCATCATCAGGTGTTTTCTGTAACTCTCAATCAGACGTCTGCACCTGTTGACAGGTGTTTGGATTTCACTGCTCATCAGAAAAGTGCTCTGATTTGTCTGGGATATTTTTTATTTTTCAATTATTCTTTTCAACCACAATTCAAAATCAAAGTCTTATTTCACGAAATTATAATTTAGCAAATTTTTATTTATTATTACTTTTTTGAGTTTCTAGTTATTTGAGTGACTAGTGTGACTTTTGCCTTTTTTTAATGAAAGGAAGACGACTGTGTGTAATGTGGCATAGAATTCTAAATGAATTTGTAAAAGCCTATAGGTGAATAAATGTGTCTCCTCGTGTCCACCTGGAATCAGTCACCTGTCCCTGGAAGCGCTGCTTGTGATTCTCCACGATATCAAAGTGGTTCAGGTCCAGCTGGACGCCGTATCGCGTCTGACAGCCTGACGTGGGCATGTTCCAAACCACGACGAAGGGCCGCCGAGGCAGGATGGGGCCTGCTGCAGGCGAGGCAGGGAGGGAGGAGGCTTCTCCATGGGTGGAGCAGCAGAGGAGGAGGAAGAGGAGGAGGTGAGACAGCTCCATGGCTGCTCAAACACTGATGTGTCCTCCCTGGAAGAAAAGAGAAATCCTCCTGTAAGATGCACCAATGAATGCTAGAGGCAGAAACACACTAAAACTGAATATATACAAGAAGTAAAACAACCATTAATTGACAATTTGATGAAAAATTCTGACCTGGAATGTAAAAATAAACACAACACAACAAACTTTATAACTAAATTCTCTTTATTTCCATCATTTTTCAACCATCTTTTTCTGTAACAAATCGTTAAAAATCCAATAAGGCATCAGTCGTCTGGTGGTTGAACAAGGCACGATCAGAGCTCCTGCTTCACATCACAGCGTCACAGAATTAAATACCAGCAGCACATGAAGACTGGATGTTGATTTCTGAGGTGTTTCACTTTCATCAATTCACATACAGTCAACTGGATTAAATAAAACCAGCATCACTGTGGTCGTGATCCCACCTCCAGACATCTTCCAAGACATGAAGTGCTTTGAATATTTACTTATGATGTGGACTTTCTGACACAACAGTTTGGTTCACTGGTTTAGAATGACTCCTCTGTGTCTGTGACAAAACCCTCAAACTTTGAATATGCAAATATTCCATTAGTCTAACTGCTGCACACAAGAATCTACGGCCTGAGAAGTCCTTCGCTGCACTGGAGGCTTCAAGTTTCAGCATCACACCAACGATGAGGGGTTCAAGGACCGGCTCAGTGCAAACAATCTGAAACACCTAAAACACCTTTCAGATCTACTTTTTCTGAGTTTCAGGTCATCATACTTTACTCGCTGCCACACTGATGACGTACAGGAACACATGGTGCACGAGTTACACACTCCACTGGCAGCACAAGATCAATTTGCAGTTTAAAAAGACTTCAAACATCAAGTTATGTTCACAGGTGTGGCGAAAAATGTTGCACAAAACCTCCAGAGGGTGAAGTCTACACTGAGGATGAGTGTTCGTCTTTGGTTTGCTAGCACCGTTGTGTGTCTGTTTGGTTCTCTGTGTGTCTGAAAGCAGCATGTGTGTGTGTGTGTGTGTGTTTGATCTGAGTGTGTGTTAAAGTGGGTGATTGTATCTCTAAGTGTGTCCGACTGTCAGATGTCCTTGTGCATCCAGTAGATGGGAACTCCTTTGGCGTCTCTGTAGGGAGTTTCAGTCAGAGTCTGAACCACGAGCTGCTCCACAGACTGAGGAGGAGGAGGGGCGGAGGGGGGAGGAGGTGGGGGAGGCGCAGGGATGGAGGAGGGAGGGGGAGGAGGAGGAGGAGGAGGAGGAGGAGGAGGAGCTAAGCTAGAAGGTGGAGGTGGCCCTACAACACAGCCTCCTCCAGAGTCCCTGCTCCCCGTCCCTACTCGAGCGTCTGTCTTTGTTTGTTCGCTCGGCATCCTGGAGAACCTCAGAAGCGTCTCCATGGGAACGAACGCCGTCATGGCGCCGGCGTTCTGCACCGGCGTGGACAGGACGTAGCCGAGGTGGGCGTAGAAGTGCTGCTTGTCGTGGGTGGTCAGGCAGAGGCGCCTGAAGCCTCGGCTCTTGGCGTAGCGCTCCGTCTCCTCCATCAGCGTCCGGCCGTAGCCCTTCCCTCGCTCCAGCTGGGACACGACCACCGACTCCACAAACAGGCTGCCGCCGTGACCCACGACCCGGGACAGCCGGGCGTGGCCCAGCAGCCTCTCCGACCCCCTGCGGCCCTGCAGCAGCACCAGGCAGACGGGGAACTCTGAGCAGGACTTCTGGAGGGAGTGAACCCGGGCGGCCTGACTCCGCTGCCACTCGGAGTTGACCAGGTCGGCGCAGGGAAGCAGCAGGTCGGGACGCCGGTGGATCGGAACCGCATGGATCTTCTCTGACAGCTCCGAGTCTGTGTTCAGCTTCTCCTTCACTTCTGTGTTCAGAGCTGAGATCTCACAGACGTCTACTGGAGCCGAGATGGGCTGCAGGTTCAGCTCATCTCCAGAGTCCAGTCGAGGATTTGAGGATGTTTTGGCTTCAGACCTGCGATGATCAGGGTTTTAGTCAGTCTTCATTTTAGTGTTAGAAAATGTGCTTTAAACGTGCAGTTCCTCCGTTCTGCGGTTAATCTGATTACAGCACAGTGTGCGTTACACAACAGGGAGCTGACAGATGACATTTATTTGTCCTCCTGACAGCAGACTCTCACTAATCATGCGTCTCCTCACACGTCCTGCTGCTGGAAGACGACACACATGCAGGAGGATGAGGCCAGTGCGCTGATCTCCCTCTAATCTCTGTCTACACTTTGCACTTTAACCTTCACCGTCGGCCTCTCCTCTCTCGACTGCGAACCTGGAAGCAATCTGAACCTGGCTTTCCTGGGAGGTGTGTGACCACCGAGCAGTGGAACTCCAAAAAGAAGGGCTGCAACGAACAACTAGTTTCATAATCGAGTTTCCTAAAGCTGATGAAAGTTTAACATGACAGAGAGCAAACAGTCACATGTTTGAAGTTAGAACCAGGACACGTTGGACATTTAAAATGACTTTGACAACCCATTGCAGATTCATTTTCTGTTGATTACAAACTCGTGACTTTCTGAGGAACGTACAGATTTTTTAACCACTTTACCACCAACTCACTTTACATACTTCTGCACTAAAACTGATTAATACTATAAAACACATTCTGGACATTTCTAAAGTAGGAAATCCCCTTGAAGCTAACAAGCTATAGTGACTTAGATCATAATGTGAGCTTCTTTATGGAGCCAGACTTTTTATTATTTGCCCCACTTGCAGTAAAAAGCTGCACAAACCTGCTGTTATGTTTTCACACATTCAACAATAATCATTCAGGTCAAAGCGTGACGGAGCGTTAGTGGATTTTGAAGCACCGGAGCTCGACTGTGGGAAGAAATTCTGACTTTCTTTGAGTGTGTGCGAGTTCAAATTTCAGCTGGTCGTATTGGTGTGAGTGCATGAAGCTGTATTAGTGTCACTGTAGTCGTCACAGGAAGCTGCTGTGTTAACCTCAGTGGTGGAGGGCAATACTTTAATAGCTTTGGTGTCCTTTGGTATTTACACCTAAAAATGAGACTTTCTTGTGAAAAACCATGGTGGAACCCTACATGCGCTGTTATTCTGCTCATATGAAGGAGGGCATGTTAAAAAAAAAACAAATCTCTCGGTTTTAATTTGGACAAATCTGCCCCTAAACGCCCTGGTTCACTCTTTTTAAAGTCATTTTTGGCGGCACACCTGTACTGAGCACACCACAGATACCAACAGCAGCTACCACAGCCTGCTATGTGGGGCGTTCAGGGAACATCGGCATATGTTTTGCCAGTGACAAGGTGGGAGGTGAGAAAGTTGGTGCCACCAGTGAAAAGTTAGTCTGGAGCCCTGCATAGAGTGTGTTAGAGTGATATTGAAAAGTAACATCCATCCATCCATCCATGATCTATACACCGCTTAATCCTCACTAGAGGGGGCAATCAACCAGCAATTAACCTCAACATGTTTTTGGACTGGCTGCAAGGTGGCTCGGTGGCTAGCGTCGTTGCCTCGCAGCTAGAAGGTCGCCGGTTTGCGTCCCAGTGAGGACGATCTTTCTGTGTTCTCCATGTTCTCCCCGTGCAGCGTGGGTTCTCTCCGGGTTCTCCAGCTTCCTCCCACACAGTCCAAAAACATGTTGAGGTTAATTGGTGATTCTAAATTGTCCGTAGGTGTGAATGTGAGTGTGCTTGGTTGTCTGTCTCTAAGTGTAGCCCTGTGATAGACTGGTGACCTGTCCAGGGTGTCCCCTGCCTTCACCGAGTCAGCTGGGTGCCCCCCATGACCCTAGTGAGGATTAAGCGCTGTATAGATGATGGATGGATATTTTTTGACTGTGGGAGGAAGCCAGAGAACCCGGAGAGAACCCACGCTGCACGGGGAGAACATGTAAACTCCACACAGAAAGATCCCGGGTGTCCTCACTGGCGACCTTCTTGCTGCGAGGCGACGGTGCTAACCACCGAGCAACCTTGCAGCAACATATTTAGAAAATAAAAAGTAAGTGATTTAGTATTAACAGCCGCCATTTTCTGTATTTTCCTCCTTGGTGGCGCTCTGCTCCAACATCATGTCATCTTTGGCTGAACCCAGTTGGATTAAATTGAAGAAAAGGATGACGATGACTATAAAACTGATCTAATACATGATAACTGAGTAAATGACACTGACCGACGTTGACACTGTTCCTTTAAAGATGAAGCCTATTTGGTTAAAACTCACACTTAACTGATGTCTCCTCCATATTTATGTCTTGACGTTTTAAACCTGCTCTCACTGTGGATGAGGAAGTAGGAGTTCTCTGACACGTAGCTCCTTGACACATTCTCATTGCTACTGTTGTATTTTGCATTTCACCCATATATTAAAATCTTTTTTTTATGATTGTAGCACATGAACAGTCCTTAGAAGTTTACAAACTGATGGATTCGTACTGCAGTTATCATGTTCTTAGGCTACAATATCAAAAGTTGTTGCTCTTTGAGTTACAAACTGAACTAAAAGCTAGAAGATAGTCACGTGTTCACAATCGGTGTCTTCACACATGGTGCTCACAACTCAGGTGCAAAGACGATACATGCAGGTTTTCACAAATAACAGACTCGCAGACTTGATATTAGGCCTTAAAATCATCTTCAAGATTCAGAAGCACACTGAGAGAGTCTCTTTACTCACAGTGTCTGTAAATCATCAGAGAAAATTCTACAAGAAAAACTGCCTGCGATGAATTATATTCAGAAAATACTAACTCACCGAGAGAGAAAGGTGGAAGCAGCTGACTGTCGAACACTGAATGCTACCTAACACAATTTCACTTCTGCAACAGGAAACTGGGAGGTGACTGATGATCACACAGAAGATGAGGAACCTTCACTAGCAGATAAACGTGTTACTTAATCTGTGAAAGCAAGAGAACATCATGCTCCTGTTTTCTCATTAATAGTTGAAGAGTTCATTTGCAAAAGCAGAGAACTCCATCCTCACAAACCTTCAGAAAACCCACTTCTCCATCATCTACCTGAGACAATATCAAACTTAAGTTATCTCTATTTTTGTCATTTCTACTGAGTCACATCCACTCAGCTTCAGTTTGATTGATATTATCTCAAGTAAACAACAAAAAAATAAGAGTTCTGAAAATCTAGAAAAATGGAGTTAACTGTTTTTGCAAATGAAGGAGGATGCAACAAGGACTGTAGCATTTAAAATTATTTATAAAGCGTCACTGTGTTTTTGGCACAACAATTTGGAAAAGTTTGGATAAGTTTAGAAAAACACCATAAGTTACTAAAGCTGATTCAAAAGACATTTGGCTTGACATCACAAAAGGAAATGACAAACTCACATTTTTGATGTTGGAACCAAAAAACATTGGAAAAATCACTTAGACAATCAGATGCTGATTCTTTGATTGAATTATTGATTAAACAAACTTGTGACTTTCTGGAGAACTCACGGATTTTCTAACCAATGTGTCGCTAACAGTTGAAGTGCACTTTATGCACCACAATTGCTAAATATAAAAACATAAGGGGCCTCAACATTAAACAGATCCTGAGCATTTTTCACTATTTTGAAGAAAATCCTAAAAAAAAAAAATTAAAATAAATGAAAATAAAAAATAGGCTATTAGTTAATTGGCCAGTTTGGCCACTGGTGACATGTTCCATTTCCTTTACTTGATTAGATTTCATTTTATTTATCTATGTATATATATTTCTTGAACACTTTAGGTATTTTATTTCTTTATATTTATTTTTTATTGCAACTGGATGCAGGTACTACGCACATTTCACTGCGCATGCGTACAATTGTGTATGTGACGAATAAAAGTTTATCTTATCTGATCTTACCTTTTTTTATGATTAATTAAGTATTACTTAAAGTACTGACAAATTACTGAGAGGTATGTTTTAATTAAGCTTTGAGGAACATTAACAGAAGAGTGACTGAATGACAGGATGACGGCATATTAACGGATTACTGACGCCTGCAGGTACAGAGCAAAACTTCAGTAACTCACTCAGCCTGAACATTCACACAGTGTTTAAATACGTTCCGTGTCTTTCTCTCTCATTCATTTCCTTGAACAATTCAGAAAGCCCCGCAATGAAGCAGGGCATCAAAAAATTGGGTTATACTCTTGTTGTTCCTCTCCACGGAAATCTTTAGTAAAAGGCGAAAGATTTATACGATCTGAAGAGAAACAAGAGTGGATTGACTTCTCAGTGGCAAAGTGTGGGACGCCATTCTCCGCCATACACCCCTCAGTCACGGTGCACGGACACTCGTGTTTAACGACACGGCTGATTTTTTGAGAACATCACAAATATACAATATTATGCAGCAATGTGGCGTTAATTTTCCGGTTAAATTAATGTGTAAGTAGTTAATAAATGCATTTATAGTAACCGTTTCACGAGCGCTAAGCATCATGGGAACATGGCGACCGTAGCCACGCCCCTAACTTTAAAGTTTGAGCTGCTGCTTTCGGAGTTTTATTAATAAAAATAAAACTCGTTGTATAAATACTACGTTAGTACAAAGCAAGCAGTGTTTTACTGTGGAAAGGGTTTTTTTCTGTATTCACGTTTAAATTACACACACCGGAGCATAAACGTATCAAGAGAGTAACCCCCCCCTCTGGTCCGACTTATCGAAAATAACTTAAAACTATCAGTTTTCCAAATCAAACTAAGGTCTTATTTATTGCCAGAGAACAGAGTGTTTTTTTCCTCGACGCTATAAAATTATTTTCTGAATTTACAACAGTTTACGCAGAACATAATTGAAACAGAAGCAGTCCGGTGAATTTCACACATGCGCAGTATGACACCCCGGAAGCTACATACTCTAACAAGCTGCGATTCATTCACGTGAACTGAAAATTATCTGGCCGTGTACAGCAACAAAAAGCACAATGGTTACAAATTCGGTAGTAAGCACAACCGCAGAATAGTAATACCCTGCTCTCACGTGTGCATATATTTTTATGAGAAATTATCATTTATCAGTTCAGCAAGTGTTTGAAACCTCTGTGCAATCTATGTAACATAGTGTATACTGCTTAACTCCTGGCCAGTTCTCCAAATAACTTTTATATGAAACACACAAGCTAAGTGGGTGGACAGTAAAATAAAGGCTTGATACCTAAACGTTGGTAGGGCAGATCCCCGAATAATGTATAATATGTTTAGACTTTAAAAAAGCTTAAATCTTCATCTTCAGGATAAGATGAGGTAAACTAAATGTGTTGTTTGTTGTCCTATTCAACCTATTCCTGATTCAGGGAGCGTCATTATGGGCAAATGTTTATGAATGGCCGAGGATCTTAAGTTAAGTTTTTTTTGTTCAAAATAATGACACACTTAATCAAAACTGCAGGGATACTACTTCACTGTTTGTAAAAGTCAGATCTGTTTACTGAAGTCAAAAGTTTTCCTGTCAGGTTAAGTCTGTTATTAGATATTTTTTGTTTTCATAGTATCACAGCATGACATCTGCAGCAATGATTTCTATTACAGTAGTTTGATAAGATGTCGCTGGGCTATGGGCAGATTGTCGTTTGTCAGCAACATAGGCTGCAGATTTGCTCTGGGTATTACTACTTAGATATATGTTGTGTTACAGGACTTGATGGGTGAAATTTCCCCCCTCAACAGCACCAGCATCTCTTCTTCTGGACTATTTAAGGGGCCTGTCACCATGTGTAAATCCATGAAAACAAACATTTCAAAGAATTTGAAAACGGAGCAATTATCAGGTCAGAATGTAAAGTTTGCTGGGCTGGGCTAAGTCAGAAATGAGTAGAAATCTTAGTAACACCTCTGAGATCAATACTTGCTAACTAGTAATATTATGATTTGTTATAATCCTGTCAGGAAAAGTTCTGAGCAGCAGTTTTAAGGCGGTGAATGAACCAAGTGGGGAAGCTTTGGTTTAATACAGTTTGTGTTGTGTTTTACGTCCTCAAATAGCGCAAACTCAGGATAAAAGATGTTATTTTCGGACAAAACATGCTTGCTATGTTTAGAGTTGACTTGTAGAGTGGTCAACGAGTCATTATTCTGGACCATCAGTTCCTCCCTTCTTGCTTTTCACTTCCATGTAAGGTAAGACTACAAACACTTTTAGCTGCATGCTAACCGGCTAACTTTTCTCAGCTGCAGGGATAACTGCAGAGCAGTGACACTGTCAGGAGGAACCGCTGGTCTATTTAATGTCCATTTCACGATAAAATTAACAAACCTCTGCTCGTTTCTCATCACACTGTAACGTTACCTACATTTTTAGCGGCGGCTGGTGGCCGGTGTTCGTCCTCCTGTCAGGCGGAAGCGCGCTGCACTGCGGTGTGTCGTCATGTCCGCCCCCTGTGGATGGGAGTGGTATTACACACAAAACAACAACCTACCTGCCTGTTGTCCTGCTGAATAAATTACACTCAATCCTGCAGTACATTGCAGTGCATTGTACAGTGCAGGACAAATTGTCTGTGTCCTTAGGTAAAATTGTTGCAGTTACAAAACATGATACTACTTCGGTTTCTATTACAGCTAAAACATATTGCACACTTAGCATAAGGGGGTCATTTCAATTATCTATCGTTCCATTTCTGTACATGTGAAAGGTCGATAATTTAGTCTTATTGCACTTTACTTAGTTTCTTGTCTTGCTTCTTTCATGTCTTATTTGTGTCTCGCTGCTGTAACATGTAAATTTCCCTGGTGAGGGGTTAATTAAGTTTGTCTTGTCTATATTTATAAAGATAAAATAAATGTTAGATTGAAATATAAAGTACTTTTCAAGATCAATAAAAAGTCCATGTTTTGTTTAGTATTTTTGTGTCTATTTATGTTTCAGAAAGTATCAGTAGTTGACTTCTGTATTACCAATGTTTCTGTTAAAGTCTGCTCGAAGACATTTACGTGCCTTAACAATCACAAAAACACTTTTTTTTTTTCTCATACTGTACATTTCTGTCGCACCTCTTCTCACGCTCTGAAACATTTTAGCTTCTGTCTCCTTTTAGCAAAGTTTTACAGATCAGAAGAATATTCAGGATATGGAAATTGCACACAGTCCTGGAAATACAAAGACAGGTAGGGAGCATCTTTTACATGCACAAAACGGGGACCCCCAACAAGAATAATATGGGCTCCTTAAGAGGACATGTGCAAACAGGGAAGGGAGGTAAGAAAGCTACATTAAAGCTGTAGTAGGCAGAAAAACAAAAAAAAAGGAGGAAAAAACTACAATGTAAATAGATGCCACCAACAACACTGCCTATCGTGCTTTGACAAAGCAGAGCAGCAGACCTTTACTTAAAAAACGAACTGAAAGACACAGAAATAGTGCAAACCATATGATCACAAAACTCAACAACAGTCCACAAAAACTCAGTGTTATAAATCATCCAAACACAGCATTTTTCTAACAGGACACTGGATTTGTTGTTGAGTTCAAGGAAAAATGTAACAAAGAGACAAGATTTTTTCTTTTTTTTTTAACAAAATGTTTGCTTTATTTTTTCTTTTTTCTTTTTTTATCCAGGACAACTCATTCAAGGATAATCAAGGAGAAATAAGCACTAATATGTTTTTATTAGATTTTTTTTTTCTCTTTTTACATTTTGTCAGAGATGGATGGTGAATTTTTATCAGAATTGGTCAAAGTAAAACAAAAAAAATAATAAATGAATATATAATAACAATACATTAATAATTAATTCAATACGATGAAGTGTGGCGTCAATGACAGAATAACAATGGCCCAGAAAAATGTAGGGTTGTTATTGTTTTTTCACTGCTTCTTCTGTGGTACTGCAATAATCACCAGCACTAACTCAACTCAACTCAATCAACAACAGTAGAGGAAGAAATGGAGCGCGCTCACAAAGTTCTGCACCCCAGCCTCCCAAAGAGGAAACACTTTTTTTTTTATTATTTAAATAATATTTTATCAAAGCTTCTGTTTTCTTATCTTCATAAAACTTATCTGTCTTCTTTAAACTTTACTTTTTTTTTCCTTTTTTTTTTTTTGCATTTTTGATTGGTTTTCCTTTTCAGAGATTTTTTAAAGTTTTTCGTCTCCATTTTACCACAATGTTTCTGTTTTTGCAAGTGTGGTTGCCTATGTGTTTTTGAGTATGTGTACCTGTGACTGTGTGTGTGTGTTGACGTGTGTGTGTGTGTGTGTCTGTGGGTCGATGTGTCCTTGGCTGAGGCTTGGAACAACTTTGACTTGTGTTCACGTGAATGCGAAGCCTGCACAAATGAAGATGTGTGATTTTTTTTTTCTTCTTTTTTTTAAAAACATGTGTATGGAGTGCGCGTGTACTTCATGTCCTCACACACTGCTTTACCTGTGTTGAGGTCAGCGCAGCGAAAGACATTCATACCGAGGGGCTGAAGCTGGCTCAAGCGACGGAGGTGTGTGGCCTTTAGCTCGCTCTGTATGTGTCTGTGCATCTAACCAAAGTCAGCTTATGGAGGAGTGTGGTGAGCTAGGATGTGCACGAGGAGGGTGAGCAAACGAAGTGAAGTGAGCGTCTCTCAGTGCCTACACAGGTGTCAAAGTGTGTTTGTGTGTGCGTGAGGGAGGGAGAGTGTGTCTCATTGAGGATTTCTGCAGGTGAGCCAAGTACACTTTCTCATGCGTTTGCACCGTCTGTGTAAAGCTTATGAGTCTGTATCGCCACTGCTGCATGACTGTGGGAGAGGACATATGTCGGTGTGTGTTTGTTTGTTTGTGTGTCTGTGTGTGTGTGTGTATGTGTGTGTAATAGAAGGCACGGAGGGTGGTGTGGGAGGCTCAGTCTCTCAGGTCCATGCTGGAGCCGAACAGAGCCACCAGCTGCTCCTCATAGTGGGCGATGTTCCTTTTCATGATCTCCTTACAGGAGCCCAGGAGGCGCTCGAAGGCCTGCACGTCTATTACTGCACAGAGAGAGAGAGAGAGACGGAGAGGAACACACACAGATGTTAAAGTCATTTCAGCTGCTCAGTTATTTTTAAAAAGGCCTCATTGTAGTAATAATGTTTCACACATAGCTGGACTACTTTGTCGTTCCACATGTGCTCCCAGAGGATTTGTGTTTTATAATATTTCAGACTTGGCGACGTGCTAAGACACATGGCTCCTGAGAGAATTTACCAAAAAAACCCCATCAGGGAGCAGTGTTTTAGAGCGAGGAGAGCACGATGAGGGAAGTCTGAATGATCAGAAGCTGGAAAAAACCCCAGAGCATCCAAAGAATCCCACTTTCAATGCTCAGGGTTTTCTCTTTTCTAAAAGTGACAACCTGAATCAACAGTGCCCGTCCAGCTTTGACCTCAAGGGACTCAGCAACGAGCGTGTCCAACCAATGGCCAAAGCTTCATTCCTTGTCAACCTCATTCCTCTCCTTTAAATGAGTGAACGATTTTAAAGTCCAGTTGTTGATTTAACACCTAAAAACTCATCTCTGTGTATTAAAGTTACATATTTAAAAGATTATCTATGAAAATAGTTCCATTCCTGCCTGTAAATGGCTTTAAAGTTACTGGACGCTACGGTTTTTCCTAGAATACGTGGGTCTACTTCGTCCCTGCCTCTCTCTACATCCACCCCGAGCTATTCACGGCACAACTCTTCTCAAACACTGATAAACTACTTTACATTTCACAGAGACAAGCTTTGATATTGAACATATATTCAGCCGAAGCAGAAACAACTTGATTTTCACTGGTCTTTAATGCTACATTATTATGATCAACAAACTGCTTAGATACAGTATAAAGAGCTAGAGCTTAAAGCAAGTGGTATTCTAGATTTTATTCATGTTAATGGCAACTGAATTCGAGATCAGCTGATTTCCCATGAGCAAAGTGAACATGCAAACCCAGTTGTTTGGATTTTCTGGTTTGTTTGAGGTTCTTGTTGAACATTAAAACAAACTAATTACCATCCTCAACAAGCCGATCTGAGAGGCAGGAGGCTAGTCCAGACCTGATGATGCAGGCTGTCTAGTCACAACAGCATGCAGCCGTGTGGGTCATGTCAGTGTCTGGGAACATGGTGTGGAATCCTACTCCCTCATTTGACTTGTACGAGTTGGTGTTTTGTCACTGTGATTAGACCTTCCATTACTGCAGCTTTCAGTGTCGCCGTGCACCTGAATGTTTTCCATGGATCTGTTGCTGGTAGTGGAGATAGAGTCTGGGGTGGACAAGGGGGAGACGAGGGTAGAACAGAACCGGGAAACACGTGGCACCTGTTGACTTGGCAGTTCCCTGTTTCTCGCTCTGCATGTGGGATTCCACTGCCTTCGTTCCCACGGTGCCAAGTTTGAAACACTTCCTGCACAAAACGCTCCATGCCTCGTAAACATCGCCTGATAACGGTGTCAGCGATGTTGTGAAATCTCGGTTGAATGGCCAACTTTGGCTGGGTTTGTGCTTCCCCAGCTAGCAGACGGTGCATCTGCTCCGAGCGTCCAGGACCAAAACAAAACCAAAGTGTTGTTTGTTCTTATATCCTGATCCGTGCGACGAGATACAGTGTCAAAACAAACCAGAAGGTGTCTGTCTTCACCACTTTACTACCAATTAGTTCCTCATCTTTACATTAATCATTCAGTGTCCCTCTCAGACTTTTTAAGGATCCGTGGGAACCCTGCATGAATGTTCCCCGTTGGGCCCCGGGAGACTCTTGAAGCTCATCTTTTACAACTGCAGGGACAATGATGAGAGAACAACAGCCAACATATGCTGCTGCAGTACGGTTGAATGGCATTTTCTCTGCTTCAAAGTAAAGCTGTTGTTCAAGACGGGCCGAGTTACTGTCGGTGCAGCAAACAAAAAGCACACAGGGAGCTGAGACAGACAGGTAAGTCTACCGACGGCGTATGTGTGGTTAAAGGAGAACAAAGAGCGAGGCTGACTGACATGACACCACAGAGAGCTAAATAACCTCTGTGATTACCCAAACAAAAGCGGGTCACTGGAGCTGTATATAAAAGAAAAACTCAAACAGTTTTCACGGCAAAAACAGGAGAAGTGACACAGAAACGCAGCCAGCTGTTAGAAATCCAGCTCGTTTTTTTCTTTTTTAAAAAGTGAAGAGCCGCTCATCCACTGTAGAGCCGTAATTAGAGCGCCCACTTTAACCGCCAAATGATTACAGAGCGGCCTTCGATCAACAAAACACACAAGGTGATGACAGGCGAGATGAACAGCCGCACGCCGGCGGAGAATGAATCAGAACTCAAATGGCACTTGATATCTCAGGCTGAACTGCTCGTAACAGTTCAATTAGTGGAAAATGAACGGCAGGGGCATTGTTGGAGGCATGAGACGATTAAATATTGCTTATTAGCTGCTTTTAATTTCGTACGAAGCTCAAGTATAAAGGGTTGATGTGTAGGAGTTTTCCTAAAGACTTGGCGCGCGAAGTCTTGTGTTCACGTAAAGAAAATCACACATAAAAGTGTTTTAAATGTGGACACTTCACATTCATGACTTTATTGGTATTGTTGAGGCATGAAAGGTTTAAATATTGCTTATTAACTGCTTTAAATTTCATATGAAGTTCAACTACAAAGGCTTTATGTGTGTGACTGTTGGCCCAAATGCAGATTATCACTGACACTTTACATTCATGACTTTATTAGCAGTTTTCTTGACATACGGGGGATTAAATATTGCTTACAAGCTGCTTTTAATATCATATGAAGCTTAGCTATAAAGTCTTCATGTGTGTGATTGTTTGCTTAATAAAGATCTTGTGTTCACATATAAAACAATCACACATAAAAGTGCTTTATCACTTACACTTTACATTCCTGCATGAATTCGTTATAGGTTTCCTGGTGAGCACGATTAACAACCATGATGATAAATGCGTTTAATGAGTGCGTCCAAGTGTGTTTTCTCTTACCCAAACACTTGACATCTCCCACTGCGTAGGCTGAGGCGGCCCGGGGCTTGTTAGTGACCAAGGCCAGCTCCCCAAAGTACTGACCCCTCTTACAGCGCGTTATCTCCACCTCCGCATTGTCTGCGTGGTCCGCCTTCGTCTGCAGGAGAGCAGAGGAGCAGGATTAAAGGTTAGAAACCACTCAGAGCCTCGTGTTTTGTTTTTTTTCCTTTCTTTCCCTCCCCCAGCAAGAAGCACTCAGACAACTGTGATTCCCCCGCTGTTGCTAGGCAAAAACCAGGAAACACTTTTGTACTCTGGCGGATTTTAATGGCGAGTGTGGGCTGTCATTGTCAAAATGTGCTGCACAGAAACTACTTGTTGGAGGAATATATTCAGCTACTGTGCTGCTGCATATTCATGAACCTTTTTGGAAGCATTCACCAGAATCTGCTTCTTAGAGACGCACAGTGAAACGAATCAAAATGCACGATTGCGAAACAGGTGAGGACGAGCTTCTTACTTTACTCTTCATCATGATCTTGGCCTCCCCAGATTCTACAATGTAGAAGCAGTCAGCCTTGTCTCCCTGAGGAGAAAGAAAGCATTTAGAAATACAATGAAAATGCAATTACAGTGTACACGAATGTGGAAACCGAATCCGCGTCTCACCTGTGTGATGATGCGCTCGCCATCTGAGAACTGCTTCGCTCCTAATACATCCACTATCTTCATCCTCTCTGTGGCCTGGACAGAAAAAAAGAGAAAGACGGAGAGGTCAAGAGAAGATTAATAACAATTAAGACTACTCCTACAGATGCTGACCCAGTAAATTCCCCAACTTTAGCCCCAACAGTCTGTATTCGCCAGATTACCGTAAATTCCGGACTATAAGCTGCTACATTTTTCACACGCTTTGAACACTGCGGCTTAAACAATGATGCGGCTAATTTATGGATTTTTACGAATTTGCCTTGTGATGAAACTGAGAGCGACAACGAAAGAGAGACGGAGGAAGTGTGTGACGAAGGAATTCTGAGGCTGTTCAACTCTGACACTGAAGAAGACGACTTAAGTGGTTTTAGTACAGGAGGAAGATGAAGATCGCGGTCAATGACTTTTCCTGGTAGGCTGCTGTAGTTTTTGTTTTTCTAACCAGCACTGTTCTGTTATAATTAATTATGTTTGGAGCTATTATGTATTCTGACTCTGTATTTTTCCACTGAGCCTATGATTCTGTTTTGTATTTTTCTACTGAGCACAGTATACATCCTTGAAGATAATACGGCCGGTGAGAACCGGTTCACACACCAGGAGACAGCGGAAACCCCTCTTTTCTATCGGATAGGATTGCTACTTTAGCTACACGCCGTACCAACAACATCCACACATGCTGCTTCCCAAATTTCAAGGACGTGGACAAGAGGTTCGCCTGTCCACGTCATTGGTAAGTGGACAATTAAACTTGGGTGTGTACAAGTCCAACCTCTGTACAGGGCAGCCCAAGAAGGTATCTGCAACCTGAACCCGGAAAAACTCCGTTCAGCTGGACATGAGATTCCTGTCTGTCCCTCTGAATCCAGCGCTGCCTCACTTTACCTGTGACCTAAATAAATTCTACATCTGAGAACTGCAGATTTCTCCGGTTTGTTGTCGGGCTTCCAACGAAAGAATTGGGTCTAACAATTTGGACAAAAGCATTTACGGTACGTATTTGTGTAGGTTGCTGGTACGTATTTAATTAAAAGTAAAAGAAAATGTTCTAGGTAGATATCTCATGCTACAACGTGGACACCTGCGGCTTATAGACAAGTCCGGCCTGTATATGTACAAATGCGCTCAATAGTCTGGAAATCATAGTAATCAGTATCAATATTTGAGATTAATTAGCACGTTTCTGCACACTGTAAGTATTTCTATTAATTTCTATGATTAATAATCCCTTTATTACACTTCTTGCTATACTGACTGGTAACACCTGCTTCTCATTTGTCTTGTAAAACTTGCAACACGCTTTAATCCACATGTTACCGTTTACTGTTTACCATTTTGAAGTCCTCATATGTGAAAACCTACTTGACAATAAAACTGTTTCTCATGTTTGATCAAATAACATTTCCCATCTTCTGCTGCTCACCTCATTTCCAGGTGTTAAAATGCATTCATCTACTTTAATTAATGTTAATTCATTTAGTAGCTACAGTACTTCTGCTAATATTTCTTGTCCAACAACCGCTGATCAAAGAAGTAAATATGTGAGATGTAGTTATTTGGCGCTGTAGTCTCTTGCTAAGGGAAAAAGCTGAATTGAATATTTGATAAGGGACTCAAAGGAATTTGTATTTCAAAATCTGAACTCACCTCCAGTGATTTGAGTAAGGGCACAGACTCAATGAAACACTCGTACATCCTCCTCTTCTTGGCGTTGTTCTTTACAATGAGTCTACGAAATGTAGCGCGGTCCTACGGGCACAAAAACAACACCGTGACAAACAAAAACTGAGTAAACAAACATCTCTCAAAGGCAGTCTTGCAAGCAGTTTGACTGTGGCTGCTCTTCTGACTTTGGACACTGGGAGGAGCTGCAGCAGCACAAACCATCAGAGCGGAGGACCGGCTCCATTCATAGATTACAGCACTTCATTCTTAACATGTCTGAGCATCACAGCTCAGTGTGCTGTATGTGGAGATGGAAACTGTTGCTACATTTGGCAATAAAATCCTAAGAAGACAACTTGAGGGTAAAATAGTTCCAAAAAACAGAGACAATAAGGAGACATTTGCTGTGTAAAAAACCCAGTGGTGCTCGTTGAAATGTGACTGATAACACATAGTTGACTAATTGGATCACGTCCAGTGTACAAACAATGAAAACAACTTGCTCACATTAGCAAGCACAGGCCTGACTTGTTAAACGTGCCAGTTGTTTATTTACTCAAACTCATGTCGATTATGTAATACTGATAAAAAAAACAAAACAAAAAAAACAGCCATTCATAGCGTTAGCACGTAAATGTGTCTGGTTTTGGTGTTCGTCTATTTGTGCGGCGTTCTTACCAGTCCCCATAGCGCCCCCTCCTGGGTGGCTACGATGGTGGCGGCGCGTGGCGTGTTGTACATGAGCGCCAGCTCCCCGAAGCTGCCCTTATTGTTGTACTGACCCACGCATTTTCCTAATACCACGATGTCGTACACACCCCTAGAGAAAGACAGAAAAAAAAACAGACACAAGTGAGCAACAAACAGGAAATGAATGGAAACAGATGGAACAGAAATCCATCGACTTTTGCTCAATTTAGCCAGAAGTGAAGCGTTTCGTTTATTAACCTGCTGACCTATTCTGATCACACAATATCTGCAGCCTCTAGATTGGACCTGAAAACAAAAATCTAAGAGCGATTTAGCTTTATTTGTGAATGCTTGTAAATCAAGAACACGTAACAGCATGGTTGTGTACTGGGCTGATGGAGTGTAATACTTGAGCAGAGCCGATCTGTCTCCCCTCCCTCTTTCCCTCTCTATGAGGATTAAACCTGGGGAAGGTAATTTGCAGCGTTGTTGCTTGGCAGGATTAACCACTCATTTTGTAAGATAGCCTGTCCTCCCATTGGCTGAGTAGAGGGGCTAAAACCCTTGTCGCTGGTGGAGTATTAGCTTACTTTGACTGGATTACAATGACGATGGGGACGATGATCACTTGTGTCGACGGCTCGCTGAAGTTAGCGCGTGTCTGTTGCTGTATTCGACGGACAAAGCCGGCGTGAAAACGGTGGTCAGCTAGAAATTTCATCTCATTTCACAAATCTGCTTGAGCGAATGTAAAAAAATAAAAAAGAAAAGGACCAAGATTTATTGGACTTTTATGACTCCCTGAATGAAATATGGACAACTCAGACACGATGAATTAACACCACGAAGAAGAATTTTAGGTCACGTTCTTTTCTAAAAAAAATTGATTTCCTCGATAAAGATTGGGAAAGCGATGAGTATATTTTGCGGTGCGGCGCCGTGGCTGAAGGACAAACGGATGTTCCCTCCTGCGCTGAGACGACATGCGCATAATAAGGATTTTCTCTGCCTGGTCCACCCTTGGGCACGGCCTTTAGTGATTTATAATCTCTCAAGATAGACGATGCAAAATCTCAATATCAACAGATAGAAAAAAAACAACAGAATTATTTGGGGCGGTAAGCTTGACAGTGATTTGTAAACACTTCTGGAGACATTTCTGGGAAAGTGGAAGCATTAAAGCTGTGATTAAATAAAATAAGGGCTGAATGGCACACAAAAGCATCTAAATGGTTTAATTGCTGCTTAATAAAGATAATACACGTTTCGGCCAATCAGAGTTGAGAACAATGATCCTTTCCACATCTTTTGCGCGTCAACACTCCCATTATATATTTACTCCTCGTCCCTCAGGGCTTTCTAAGGGACTGCCAGTTGCTTCCTGTCTCACAGGAACCAGAACATGCATGGCTGTTTATTCTTAAGCGCTCCTACTATCAAGATGTGCCATTTAGAGTCAGACACAATCAAAACTTAACATTATGATGCACTAAAAAAACGAAGAGGACGCGTATAAACACAGCAGAGCTCAGAGGTGACACAGTCAACAGATTCTTTAGGAAACATTTAAACAATGTGCTGCTTTATCCTGCTTTCTTTCCTGCTTTTCTTTTTTTTTTTTTTGTTTATCCCTCGATCTCTCTCTGTGTGTCCATGTTCCAACCCCACCCTGCTGGTGACATTAGCTACCAGCTACACTCTGTACAGACCAGGGTAAACCCCAGGATAGTATATGATCAGGCAGGCGTGCTGCTCTTAAAGGTCACCGCATGTCTCATGTACAGGCGGCACGCTGCGTTAGAAAGTGTGCATGCAGATGGAAAAATAGCACACAAGTGGAAGTGCGCCGCTGCACTGAACTGATATGTGCCATACCAAGAATGAATAGAGGCCGGGGTGGGATAAACAATGGCCAGCCACCAGTCAAACATGGTTAGGTCTGTTTTCTCTGTCGCGGTAGAGGTAGAAACCGACATCTAGAGGTCTGTTTTTTTAATGTTAAGTCACCACATGAACTCGTAAAGTGACGCACATGACAAAGAAACGCTAACTCCTCTCAGTGTAGTGAAGTCTCAGCAGTTATCATAGAGGCTTATCAAAGCCGCCTCAAATATTTAAAAGTATAACTTCACCTTCAAACAAAAAATATTTCCATTTTAACTTTTTACATTAAAAAAAGTCCGAGAATGAACAATTAACAGTTTGCAGCTTGATTGATAATTATAATTTCACAGTTACAGCAAGTTAACACTGTTTAATCAACACAACCCGTCCTGTAATAAACACTCCATAGGTTTACAGGAAAACACACGAGGCCTCCAGGCTTCCAATGCATGATCTTTGCAGCAACACAAGTCCACCTGTATCAACCAGTGGTTCACATTTTTACATACTTGATTTAAATACACAAGCTCTGTAATCAAAACATCAAAATCTAGATTTGTTTGTCGTTGGCATTTCGATTCAGCTGCATTTCCTTGAATGTAACGGCCGCTGCGGTATTTAGCAGCCTTATATTTTGGATTTTCGGACACTTTTATTCCTCTATATACGAGAGTTGATGAAAAAAATTACGAGACCGTACGTCTAAAATTCAAACATCGCAGCTGATTTAAACTTGGCTGCTACCCCCCGTTGAAGTGGTCTCCTCGTGCAGCGATATGGCGCCACCAGCACTTCTGCAACACTTGTGACGCTCCCTGGAAGTCCAATTATCTAAAAATGTCAAGCACCATCTGTGATGAGCGCTGCATCTCTTAAACTGTGTCAAAATGGAGACCCTTCAACTTGAATTTCATTTTGGGGAAGAGGATGAAGTCGCAGGGAAGCAAATTTGGTGAGAAGGGCAGGTGAGGAACGACAATTGCGTCATTAGCAACCCCCCTATGCTGCGAGTGCATCGGTGCACTCACATGGCATCCAGCTACAGCTCAGGTTGTTGAATATTGGAGTGGAGCTCAGCCTTAACAGTCCAACCCTGGGGGATCAATTCTGGGAGCACAAACACACGAGCGTTGAAGAAAATGACGAATATGCTCCTGGTGTGCTACTGTTTTAGAACCACGGCGAAAGCTGCTGTTTCTTCTCCTGGTGGTTGCGTCGCTCATCACCAGCCATGATCCTCAGCTGCTGGCTGACACACAGAGTGTAATGTTTGCTCTCTGTTCCAGTTTAAGGCCCATTGAGAAATCACAATATGCGCATCCACCAGTGCTTGCAGAAACATGTGTAACACAGGCCCTGCAGTGTCACAGGACCTCATGAGTTATGACGGTTACTGCTGGCACATGTTGCATGCACATGACCGTGCACATGGAAGAGCTTTTTGATCCGCCCTTGTATGTAGATGAGATGTGTTCCGTGCAGCGACATTTAATTCAACTCCTCTACAAAGTACAGCCTCAAACAAAGCCAAATAACCGATATAGTAAACTGCTGTAATAAAAAGGGATCTCGTCTGGTCATTCAGTCTCATCCAAATTTGCTTAAACAAACAGAAGGCATTTGAATAAACAAACTGACCCAGGTGTAATGATGCAACACACACGGTTTCCCCCTCCTACCTCTCTATGACGTAGAAGTTGTCTCCGTCGTCTCCCTGGTCGATGACGTGCTCCTGGGGCTGAACCCTCAGCTCAAACATGGCGTCCAACACCTCTGAGAACTGCTCCTGGATGCGGGATAAGAGAGAAAGGCTGTCAGATACAAATGAGGCGGTGGACAAACGAGGAGCAGCAGTAAAAGCGTGTGCGTGGAGTTTAACAAGCATCCCAGAATGCCGTTAAGGTCCTGTGAGTGCTGCTCCTACAGGTAGATAAAATCATCCCAGCAGGCGAGCTGTGTGAGAAACTACACGTGGGAAAGGACAGAGGGGACATTTTCAGTCCATGAGTCCATCATGTTGTCATCGATTTATCAAAGCAAATTCCCAGTGTTGTATTGTTCATACAGGAATAGAAGCAGGTCTTACAAGCATCAAATACATTTTAAGCTCATCTTTGCAGCCAAAACAAACGAAATGAATCAAGTGTAGCGACATCTCACAGACGATTGTTGGATTTGCTTTGTTGAAAATAGGCAGCATCGAGTTCTGCCCAAATATAGGAGGGTTTCAGTCACTTTAGTTTTACTTGGAATCTACCACAAATTAAAGATTTCTAGCAATGAGAGACGCAGATTAAGCTCAACAGAGAATGTAATTGGTTGTGACAGAACATACACATAAATATGTTTCACAAATAGTTCTTTGTCAGTTTTCTCTGACTGATCCCCAGAGCACTGTTTCCGTTGTTGTGGTCACTCAGTAAAGTTTTATTAAATGTGTTTTTTTATATGTGTCGATCAACATGCAGGTGATAAATTAAAGGAAAAAAAACAGAAAACGGTTTCAGACGCTTTCATGGACGGCACAAGAATTTACAATAAAACAAATACTTGATGGTTCCTCATCATCTGTAAACATGTGTATCCTTCAATCTAATGAGAGTCAAAGAGTTTTCAGGTCTTTTTCTGATATTTTCTCCCAATAGTACAAAAAAATCTTTCCTCTTACACTTGTTTCTTCTAAATCCTGCTATAATATCTTAAACATAGAGGTTATATACATTAAATTAAACTACAAACTCCTACTCCAATCAATTTCACTTTTACTTCAAACTAAATCAAATAACCTAAGACTACTTTAATAACAAATTTCTCAAATATAAAAATAAAACAACTTACCTTTGACAAACCATTTACTTTGTTATTAACAAAAAAAAGAAATTCCACATAACCAGCATCAGCATTTAAGACAGATTGAGGTCTTTTTGGGCAGGTATTCATCAAACTAAACTTGTCACCTCAATCATTGTTTTTCCAGCCAGGCCTTTCTTTGCTTCATTTGTATGCGACTCTTTAGACACGACCTTTCCCTCATATTTCCATGAACAGTATTCCTACAATAATCAATTCCACTAGAAATAACTATAAACTCATGGCTCCAAACATATCAATTAATAGTTCGGTTAATTCTGAATTTAGTGATTTGAAACACTAGCATGTCAAATTTTAAACTCCATAAAAGGCTTTTTATCTTTGATTGTCTGTGTAAACTGTCGACCAATGATTAGCTGCTTTAATTTAATTATTTAGTGCATGTGTGTATAAAGGTGTCTGCTATTGTGTATCTTATCTCTTGTTTGCTCCTCCTCTTGTAATGGACTATGATGTGCACGGGAGAGTGACATCACACCCTTTGCAGGTTATTTTGTATTTCATCACGTTTTCTGTTGTGCATGCATATATTCAGCTTGCATCTTTTGCATATGTGTACATCAATCCATCTTAAAATAAGGGGTGACTGACTGGTTTAATGAGGGTGTCATCCCTCCTGTAGAGTTCCAGAGAGTTGTATAAACTACACCACTGAGTGACACTTCATGTTAATTTTTCCTTGACCCATCTGCCTGTGAGCAGTTTTCTGTGTTGCCGTGCGTCTGTGTACACGAAGCTTCCTGTGCACGAGATCTGTTTACCTGATCTAGTGTCTTAAAGAGTAGGATGTCTCGGCAGGCCTCTTGCAGTCTGCAGCGCTGCTCGTCTGTTTTCGGGTGTACCACTCTGGGCTCAGTGTCCTCGTCATCCTCGTCTGGGTTGAACGCCTCCGCGCACACTGAAGGAAGAGACACGCAAATCAACTTTTACACACAGCAGCGACATGTCCTGTGTGTTTACACTGCGGTTAAACAAAGAAATCCAGGTAAGAGAAGTGCTCTGCAAATTAATTCAGACGTGCACAAAGCCACGCTAACAATCAAGTGTAAACACAGTGACTCTCCAATCAAAACTTACAAATAAACACGACGAAAACAATTAATCCAACAGGCTGTAGTGAACTTAGGTAGCGACAACCTTGTCAAAGTAACTTGCACTCAGCTGGCAAGGCCTTCACATCATTTACGAGTTTACTTTGCAAACAAAGAGCTATAAATACTAAGTTTATCTGGATACAACCACTCAACAGACATCCATCACGGTGGAAAACAACATTAACGTGTCCGTAGAGACGTGTGTAAAGAAGTTGAAGCAGAAGGATTGTGTTATGTTTTCACACTAGCGCATAATCGAAGACGGCTGCGAGGAGAGGATGCAAACACGTCACGGGCGTCGCAATCACCTCATCTTGGGTAAATGTTTCGACACAGAGTGCAGGGAAAGGTAAGATGTTACACAAGCGCAGGCACAAGCAGTTGGAAGATATTGTATAACACAAAATGAGGCGATGGCCTGCGGGCGGAGGGAAGAGAGGACTGCAGGACACCGGAGGAGCCCAGAAGTGAGGAAGTGACACATGCACAGCGACATGTTTTGCCACACTGGATGACAAACACTGACAAGGTCATTTCAAATTGTCACTGTGGATCTGTGTTTCCTCCAACTTTGCGGAGACACTCTCTGCTCCTCGCATGACATTTTATCGTCCGTATCATATCGGCTTATCGGGGATCGTTTTCCAGGGGCGACGCACATGGATCCGCTTTACTGTAAATGTGCAAACGTTAGCTAATCTATGTTAATCTAAATGTTTAATTAGCCACAAAAACAACAAGATTTAAAGGGAGCACAGAAGAGAAAAAGAGGAAAATTGGGTTAAAAGCTTGTAAGAATAAAACAAGCAACTCAAACTGATTGCAGGTCTGGTTGTTGTTTTAACCATGTTTTAAGATTGCATAAGAATCACTGTTACGTCTTAAATGGAAGGAACTGTGGAGCTTTTATTGTGAAGGACAAAGGATGTTTTACCCCCTTGGGACTAAAACATCCTCTTTTCTATAATCAATCTGTCCTCAACATTTTTCTGAAATACGAACATGGTAAATGGGGATGGTGTGAGTTCATTAAGAGATCTATCTAAGATTTGAAAACATCTTTTTTGTTTACTATCTGGAGGGCTGCACTACGAGGCAAAGTTAACACAGACAGCCTTTCTGTGCGTTAGCTGGAACATCCCGAACATAAAACTCAGAGATAATGTGAATCATGACGACGGTTATCAACTTTCTTTGTTCCTGATCTGTGCCAACTAGCATAAAAGAGGGTGTTTGATGCATCATTTGACTCGTCTCATGCACAAAATTCGCCTACTTCAGTGAGACCATGGGGAGCGCTCTGAAGAATATAGAAATCCATTACGGTAAAAAGTGCCGTTGCTGCAAATGATGCAAAACAGGGATGCTGGTAGAAAACGGTTAAATGTGTGAGTAATATTGTTAGTGTACCACCCTGAATGCGGCGGCTTATTTCTGCAGTTTAGAGCCGCTAAACTTCACTTTAACATGATACTCAGACAGCGCATTTAGACACTGTCCCACAATGAAGGATATGTGGAAATTAATCTATTTTTTAGCGAAATGAAACCAAGATAATGCCACAAACTGAATATGCACAGTGATAAATACCATTATCCTAATCCGTACTCTATTAGCTGCAATATGAGCAGCGTAAAACGGATTAGGCGGTAAATCAGGACCAAGTGTAGAAACATATTTATGCAATGTTTTTTCTGCATTAGCAATTAAATGCATGTAGAGTCGCTTAAATATAACACATGGCCTCAGGTGAGAATCGACTGGAGAGTAAAGGTTGAAGCTTCTTATAACCGATTTATTCCCAAACTGTGAAGATAAGCGTCCTCCGGTGCAGGTTATCTGTGACTTTGCAGGTTAAAAGAGAGCCACCTTCATCACAACTAAAAAAAAAATGTGACTTTACGCTCAACTCGTTGCTTTGTAGCACAAACCTCAAGACCTTGAGAGCTGGTTTGTATCCACATTGTGCAAGTTTTTGTTATTGTATCAGCGGTGAGAGACCAAGTTATTAAAAAGTATGTTAGATGTGAAAGACTCCTAGCATGGAAGTCTTGGCAGCTTCATACTTTCCTCAAAGCACACACACACCACCCTGAAAGTGTGTGCTATCACTATTGCAACGTCTTATCTCTTAACACTCATACCGATGACGTCCGAAGCGCTGTGACCTCTGGAGCGTCGGTGTGCTGACTCCTTCGGTTCAGCACGATCGGGTAGTTAAATCCAATCGACCGAGTGAAAACGCAGTTAAACGTGTGAGTCTGCAGTTTATTAGCAGCGAGGACATAATCTAAACCCGCAGCAGGATACGAGCCCAAAAGTCGAGAGTTTTTAACGAGTTGGAAGACATAGATGTTTGAATAAAGGCTCAGCTGTGTGTTTTCTTCGCTGGTATGAACGCCGTTTGAGATGAGATAAGACGCAGGCAGGTCTATCACGCTCAGCTGAAGCCGCTGCAATCTTATTTGTTGTGTTTGTCACATGCAGCCAAAACCTTTATCTGCTTCTCGCAGGATTAGAGGATTCCAAAAACAAAATTGGCCAATAAGATGCTTTTGAGGCAACATGTGAGCGTCTACAAGCCATAGATGATCAAATCTAATGCAAATATGGAAGGAAAGTCACGTTTTCACAAAGTTTTCAGCCAAAAAAAAGAGAAAAAAAGGGCAAATTTGATTTAAAAAAACATACATGTTTAAAGATGTCGATGCTATCCTCTTTCCTGAGTGTTGTGCATGTGTTTGTGTATTTTATTACTTGAACTGTTGAACAGATCTGTCAGTAATTAAGCTTATTACTGCCTCATGACGTCTTTTAAACACTTGGACTTACAAGCAGAGGTGGAGCTCTACCCTGAAGATGAAATATCAGTCAGGTAGAATTGATTATTTTAAAAGTACAAATCCTCCCATTGTTCATTATACTTAACGCATTTGTGACTAAGAGCTGCCTCATCAAACCCGATCATCATCATGCTGAACTACTAATAAGTTGACTCTAACTGTGTCAGGGTCTCAGCACCACGTGGCCTCATATCAGACTCCAATTAAAAGAGGTGTTCATATTTGTTTAAATAAAAATCACCACGTCACACTCGACAGGCCAGTTATTACTGTCCTACCTAAAAAAGGAAAGGATGTCCTTTTTAAACCGAGAAAGATCCTAGAAAAAATCCTGGTCACGTGACTGAAGAATGGGCACAGTAGTTCATCTTTAATTCTCAAAACGCTTTTTAATGTAAGGCAGAAAGATTAATATTATGCATGTAAGATGACAATTGTGAGTTTCTTGTCACGGCAACATGTTTGATAAATGGACAGTAAATATAATTATCTATTTACTGCATTACATAAATGTAACAGCTGGAACAATAACTTTCTTGATTCACTGCTTCTATAAAAGCCCCAAAACTAGGAACTTTAACACACTTCCTTCCCATCAGCTATTCGCTCTTGTGCCAAAACCTCTGACAGAATCTGAGATTAGATCAGCTCATGAACGGCTTAAACACAAAACAGGGACTACACAAGAGTTTCAGCCTGATTTCTCTGATTAATTAAACTCTCTGGCAGTCTTTGCGGATGCTGGATTTACTGGCCAAAAAGTGAATTAATGTCGCTTATTAAATGAGCCGCGCAGTGAAAGAAAGCTTTTGTTTTTTTTGTTAAGATCGTGCAAAATAAATTTACCCTTCTAGGAATGAAAATCAGGAGACAACACAGATAAATTAAATTAGTCTTTCTTTTTCTTTTTTTCCGGGCTTTACCCAACCTTTGTTCTTTCAAGAGTACAATTCATCTTTTTTTTTGCAGAGTAACAAACAGACACCGAATCAGGAAAAAAACCACATATGTAAACCTAATGCCTTAACTTGCTTAGATTGGGAAGGAAAAACCGCCTTCCATTCAATCTGGAGTTACAGAACGTACAGGGGAAACAGATTTAGCTTAAATCTTATGTCACCAATAAACAACCGACTCTAGAACGAATCATTTTCACCCTCAATTCGAGAGTCAGCCTTTTAAATATTATAAGCCTTGATAGTATCGGAGTAAATGATGTTTGGGATTGAATGAATAAATACCAAAAATGCATCTCATCAGATACATTTCAGAACAGTCCCCTTACATTAACCATATCATGTAAATCATAAATGAACCCTCTGAACTCCAAAAAACCATCTGTCTAATTGAAAGGCATGTTATCTTTTTAAAAAATAACCAAACTGACCTCCTCTGTGAAGCAATCATCTGTGATATGTGTTGAAAAACAAACGCGAGGTCCGGAAAATCATTTTAATCTACATATTTAAAAAAATTAAATAAAATCCAAAAATGAAGTGTTTGCACAACCAGATTCTTAGAAAAAAAAAAAATGTAATCCACCGCACAATGGTGACGTGCACCTAATTAATAAAAGCAAAAAATAAAACAAAAATTAAGCATAAAAATGATTAAACCACCCATCCACTATGGTGTTAACAATACCTAAAATATTCTCGGCAGCAGTTTAGGATTTCTACTTTACCGCTACATCACAAGCTCCACGACCGAAAGAGTAATAAAAAAAGGTTTAAGATATTATAAATCTAAAGACTGGAATTAGCTCGTTGGCTGTGATAAACAGGCCCACTTCTTTATTTAACTACCTTCATGTAACTCATCGACTACTTCCAGGACTGCCTTGTTAAATATCTGTATATGTTCTCATAGCAAATCTGATTTTTGATCTTCAATGGACTTTTTCTGCATCAGGGGTGTCCAATCCTGGTCCTCGAGGGCCACAGTCCTGCATGTTTTAGATGTGTCCCTCTTCCAACACACCTGATTCAAATGATCAGGATCGTTCTCAGGCTTCTGCAGAGCTTGATGATGAGCTGATCATTTGAATCAGGTGTGTTGGAAGAAGGAAACATCTAAAACATGCAGGACTTGACTCCAGCTTTACACACCAGTCAGACTTTTACTGAGCTACTGTGCTTGAGCTGAGGAAACAACAGTCTCGTAGTTCAAACTTTGCATAATCCTCCCGCCTCACTGCTTCCACATGAACCATTCAGAACGAGCAGCTGCCTCTCAGTCCACCAGGTTTACTTACTTTCTAGAGCGGCTTCTGCCAACTCTAAAGCCGTGAACACAACCACACTAGATGTTCTGCTGTTGGCTGCAAGAGTGAACACAACAGTCCTCATGCACTCCCGGCACCTGAAGGACTAAAAACCCAGCAGACTACTTTTATGATTCACACCAGTGTCACCACAACAGTAGAGAAATCCTTCGTGTCAGGATGTCGTGCGACTACTGTTGCAAACGTCACCATTAGCTTTGATCGCATGCCCACAGGTCGGAGCTGTGTGGAAACTGTAAAGCTGAAGGACATTAAAAGACGGTGGAAACTTTAGGACCGATTTGGATTTGTTGTGCTTCAGTGCAAATGAAGTTCAGCCAGTGTGTACAGCTGAAACTAAATTGCTTTTCAGGACAGTTTTTGCTTTAAAAGTTTAAGTTTTAAAAGTTTTTAAAAGTGGGTTTAACTTTCATTCAATGGGTTTCTTTCTGTGTAATTGCTAAACAATGTTGAGAGTGTGGGAAATAGCTCTTTGATAAATTCAATAAAGACTTTTATATTCTATGTTTGCATTATTCTCTTTTTATATGTGTATTTTTATACTTGTGTTTGCACTATTTCTTATATGTACACTTTTCTTTCTAGTATGTGCGTATCTCTGCGTGTACTGCTGCTGACAATGCTGTGAATTTCTCCAACGTGAGATGAAAAAGGCATATCTTATCTTAAACATTACCCCACTTTAGATGAAGCGCTGATTACCTCCAGGTGTACTCAGACGATGCTGCTTTATTCTTAATTTCTGCAATTTACGCTGCTCTGTGTAACTTTACCTGCAGTGTGTCCTTGTGGCATCTTGTTCCTGCACATTTTACCAATTATCTGAGAAACAGTGCATAAAAGAAACACAACATACACAGAGCTTTTCCCCCTTCTTGGTTAAAAAAAAAAGTTACACAATCAAGGGATGTATTTTTCTTTTAAGTTGCAATGATTGTTTTCCTCGTGTACAACTGACAAACTGCAAATGGGAATCTTTTTCACACGACTGAAGACAGATTTTTGTTGCGGCATCTCTGGGAAACGTAGTGACGCTCTGTCTGTGTTGTTGTATTCACACAATGTCTCCTCAAAAATGGTCATTATGTCTTACAGCATTACCACAACAAAAAGGTCTGCTTGTATCACACAGACACTACAAACCACTTTGTTCAGCAAAACCTCCACTACGTGTAGCGGTTACAGGAGAAAAAGTTGTGAGATTGTACAAATTAACACGCCGCCCTACAATAAACCTTAACGAGGCTGCGGTGAAGACAGCAGGTTCAGCGCTGAAGAGCGGGGCGGCAGTAAAGATAAACATCGGCTGACACACCCAGGGCTTAATCAAAGTGCAGCGCTCTGTGACGGCTGACGACATTCAATCACTCGTATGTAAACACTAGACGGGTACGAGCGAGCGTGAGAAAACAACGCCGCTGTCCGCCCGAGACCGCAGACGCCAGGCGCAGGAACAGACACAAGAGCGGCTGCACGAAAAAAAAAACCCAAAACGCACCGGCGGAGCTTCTACAAACACTGCGTATTACATGCATGACGCGCTCATTATCAAAGCGCCGCTCCACCACGGAGGCAGATCAGTGAGGCTGCCACTCGGTGTTTTGTGACACACACAATAACACGCTGCGGGTGAGACACTTGGCCGGTGATGTATGCAATGTCTTCCCCGGTGTGGGGTTACACTTAAGGGACATGACGTCAAACACATACATGTACACACACACATCTTACCTGACACTCTCCTGTTGAATCTGCTGGGTGGTGGGGCTGTAAAAAAAGAGAAAGAATTGAAATTAATATTGTTGTTTTAGCACAACATTTAACACATTTTGTTTTGAAATCCTCATCACTGTTATCTGACGCCGTTCATAACAATAACCGAAGAGACAGGATGAAATTTAGGGAAAGAAAAGTGGACAAAAAGGCAGACAGTCACATCAGATGGAGAAAGATTCAGACAGTCAAACAGCTAAAGGCAACAAGGGGCGATCAGACAAAAAGTAGGACATGCTCGGAGATATAGGTGGACAGGAGGAAATACAGGGAGACAATCTGGGACGATAGAAGCTAAAGGAGGAATTAAGGAAGCAAGAGGGAGTATTTTCAGAATTGCAAAGTTAATATACTGAGAGCAGTGACTCCTGACACCAGCGTGGTCACACATGTAGAGTGCATTCACACACAATGTCACAAAAAGCAGCACTTTTTTTTCTTTGGAAAGTAATAAAAACAAAAACACACTCAGCTGCAATAATCACACAATAACTGCCTGAAGCCACAAGACACTGTGTTTTATAGGAGCCCTCACATGTGCATGTTTACAGGTAACATAAGGAATAATGTATTAGAAGAGGACTGTGTTGGTTTAAAATCCATTACAGATCGCATTAGATGGGATCAATCAGCAACACATTGCCCCCCCCCCCTGCCAAATGCTGACAGGTTTCCGTGTTCAGAGGTTTGAGGTTTGTTTATGTTTTCACTTGACTAGAAGAGTTGCCTGTGCTGGCTTCAAGCTGTCGCTCTGTTTGCATGCGCAGATGCTGCTGGGATACTGTTCATGTTCCTGAGCCACCAGGATCGCGCATGTGATTTTTCTCGACTTTAAAAATTCAGCATTCAAGGACTCACAGCAGCAGGCACCTGCCACGCTGGAGCGTTTCCTCCAGCAAAACATGCCAACCGGTGGAGTTGTTGAGTAGCTAACCCCGATCCCTGACCCCGCTACGGATTTCTGCCAGAAAGACGACAAATATATTCAAATACATGAAAATATCATCAGGCATGAAGATATTCTCTGTCAAAGCCTGCTCGTCTCTGCTGCTGCTGCTGCTGCTCTCTCACACCTGGCTCATCACACGTGTCCATGAATGTATTCACCTTCACATTAATACTTAGATAGAAATGCTTCCTAATTTGTGCCATGCACGTTAAAGCCCATGTGGACTTCCAAGACACCAAAACACAGTTTGAGCGGTGATACATTTGTCAAACACAAACAACGCTTCTTATATTACAGGTTTGTTTCCTGCCTCATGCTCTGCAAACAAACAGCCACACAAGAGCTTCCCTTCCAGAAACACGGCTCGACTTCCTCATAATCATTCATCCAGAAGAAACTATAAGACATTTTACTAAACACTGTAAATCATTATATATACAGTACAGGGCTNAAACACGGCTCCACTTCCTCATAATCATTCATCCAGAAGAAACTATAAGACATTTTACTAAACACTGTAAATCATTATATATACAGTACAGGGCTTAAAGTGAAAAATAATCCTGAGCCTGAACTTTTTTTTGCTTTTGGGTGGAGGTACAATCTCGCTAATTAGTAAGATATGAAGATGTCTGCCTTCCCAAAGTCAGACTACAGATTATAGTGACACCAAAGCAGGTCAATAGGTCGTGGTAGGTACTCCATCTGACTACAACATGGTGTAAATATATTGATTAGCAACCAATGGAAAAAGGACATTGATTCACCTTTTAACAACATGTGCACTATTTATTATAATCACTCTGTCAGCTTGTTATTAATGATATCAATGTTAATTCAAATGCTAAAGCTATGTTCTGATTCTCCATGAATCTGATAGTGTTGATAAAATGAACGCCGGACTTTGGCTGGAAATCACAATATGGTGGAAATGAGCTGCCTGGTGGAGGTCTGCGCTTGTTTAGAGGGCTTTTCTAGTTTGGAAATACAATACTTGGTCAATATTCAATGAAAACACGAATCTTTTGAGCTTTTCAGGAAGACTTTTCTTAAACACTGGTGCTATTTCACGTGTATTTATGTAACCGTGTATGTGACAAAGCATTTTTATCTTCAGTCAACTTTTTGCACAGATTAACGATATGATGAACGACAAGTCATGTTCTGCAATGAACGTGCACGAGCGTATTTTTAAATCACAAACCCGGTCAGTCACTGATGCCGGTACCTCAGCAGTAGCTGCTGCTCCCGGCAAACGAGTTGTGAGTTTCAGAGAAGACACCAGCTCTATGGCCGCGGTCTGACTCGTGATCTGACGGCACTTTTTATCTGCGAGTTGTGTACAGGAGTTTTTTTTTTTTGAGCAGATAGTACAGAAGCAAGCACCAGGGTCCTTCAGTTTTTTTGCACCAGCAACCAAAGAGCTTGCCATCTCTGCTTAACCCTTTCAACACTATAGCCCGCTATACTGGTCTGCCGCTTTCACCCCGTTCAACCCTGCAGCTCGGACATTAAATAAATGATCCAAATAGTAATAATAATAATAATAAGAAGATGATGAACTGCATACAGTCCTTTTTGTTTTTTGTTCAGAGCCAAGCGCCACACGCCAGAAATCCGGCACGGTGCCGGAATACTTGAGGCCATGTATACAGCAATAAAACGTGAAATGGCCTCAGTAAAAGCTCTCTTTCTCTTCAGTACCACCAGTAAGGCTTCACTTTGAGATAAACAATGTTAGAAATAAGCCTCCACATTGTAGTTTCACCAGACAATATGTTCTGAATTCAGGTGAAATATCAAAAAGTCTATCATTCTTTGAACACCAGGAACAGCTTGAACTGAACATCCTGGAGAAAAAAAAGGAATCAATCGTACAAAACAAGTACGAAATGTATTGAACGTTGGCCCATGAGAACACCACATGCTTCCAATATATCCGGTACATTTCATGTATACAGGGACGCCACCAATCAGGATATTAAGCTGATTAAAAGCCAAACCCAAATCTGCTTCTAACCATAACACAAATTAAAAATTAAAAAGATAAAAATATCAAAACCATTTGCACTCCTCAGTGAGTGATCGGTCCAATGGTGGTGAGAGTTTAGTGCCATATGTGCATTTTCAGCTGCTTATCCAGGGTAATGCAGTGTGACCACTTCCTTCCATCATCCTCCTCGTTAGTGCAACCACTTGTTCTTTTTTCAAGCTTTTCCAAACTGATCCCCATGAGTAAAGGCCAAGACATCTTCCTCTTGGAAGTTTTTCTGCCAGACCAATGGTGGACTACTTCTTGCCCAGTTTTAACATCTCAGCAACCATTCCAAGTGTGGACAATAAACCACAATCAGTTCATTTCTCACTTTGCCATTTGGTGATACCAGAACCTTGCTTTTACCAAAGTCAGTAACAACAACATAGGAAAAACATCCTGTGCAAAGCAGAGGATGTTTCCTGGAAATGCTCAAACAGCGGCTGTAATCGAGTTGAATTTCCAGCCATGATTTCAGCGTTGTGCACTTGACACAAGAAAGCATTAATCAGAGTAACGGCAGCCTGGAAAACACTTCTGGTCAGGAATATACATCAGGGCTAATAAAGTGGCAAGTCAAGAGGAAAAGAACCGTGGCTTTGAAACGAGAGAGCATGCACAGTATGTACTGTGATGCAGCCAGTGTGCGTATGGACTCCGGTGTTGTGCAGCGTTTGTTCATGGGGGGGCCGTGACCCTGTGTGTTGCAGTGCGTGTATGTCCTTGCAAATGTGTTGTGGCTGTCTAACATGGTGTTCATTTACGCACACAAAGGGTGAGGTCAATGTCCTAAACACCTGCTTTCTAACACTGGGCTGCTACTAGCCAGCATGTGCATGGTACACTGCTTCATACACATACACACACAGTATGTGTCCATTGCTACCTTATTACCATCCTGTCAGAGCCCATTAGATCCAGACTGTGAAGACAGGAGCCTGGGGAAAACTCACACATACACACCACTTTCCCTCAGTCGCCTGGGGAGATGGACGGAGTTTAACACTCCGCTCTCTCTGAAGATCACTCTGACTATCACTCAACAGATAAATTCACAGGACGGTCTTAGTTACCGCTGCACTGACATCTGTGGCATTTACAAATGGAAACGCTAGAAAAATAATTGTGTCGCTTATTTAAGGAAATCGCCTGAAACAGTCGAGCAACTGGTCAGAAGAAATGTTTTTACAGCACAGTGGAAAAATCCATGAATAATTGCTTCAGCATTTCAATTCTATTTGTACGTATGTGTTAACTCTCACATTCGTACCAGATATTCGGTCTCGTCTGGTATCTGCTACACCTGAAATTTCATTCTGCCTGCCTACATATTAAGCTTTAATGCTGACAGAATCGACAACACTGCAACCACCGTATGAGCGACAAATGAGCTAGAACGCCAGCTAAACCCGTCCTGGGAAGATCTGCAGGTTACGGTACGTTCTCACCACAGACTGGCTCAGAACAAAGCAGAAGCCAACGATCTGTTGTTTTCTCTGGATGAGACTGGATGAGAAGTTTTAATGAACATTAGCTGAAACGGGAAACGGGAAGAAGATCCATTCCCAATTTACCAGCACTGATGGAACGAGTGTTGGGAGTGCACAGTGAATTAGAGACAAAGTGGCGCTGACACAAAACCAATATGTGGGAAACGCACAAAGGTCTCAAGACAACAGATTGAAGAGAAACTTCACATGAGGGATGCAAATCTTAAACAACTTTCTGACAAATAATAACCTATTAATCACTGACCTAAATGAAATACAGTGGAGATGTTTGCATGTGCTGGAAAACTGTTTCTTTACCTTTGACTCTTAATGTTTGTTCTTAAACATCAGGTAACTGAATTACACATTAAACAGCAAAACATAACGAGCTCATTTAAAATTGCTATTAAACAACTGGCCCAAGAAAATCCAAGTATCAACGAGCGTCAGTCTCCAGGAGAAGATAATCTGAAACGTTGATGTATTCCCAGGGGTCTGATATCAACTGAACGCTCATACT